TTCAAATTCAGTGACTTTGTGGTAAAGAGCTTTCAAACACGAAATCATTTTTTTATTACATATATAACACCGACAGCTTAGTGGTCTATTTAAATATGTTTGTCAATTGCGTTGCTTCTATTGGGCATTCAATTTCATCTTGTCTTTTGTGTTGCTGTGTAGTCCCTGGATGAATAGTGTCTAGGGTATTTCGTCTGGGTAAACATACTTAAATATCAAATATCAATGACAAATACACAATTCTATCTCAAGTTAAATTGTATTATGTTACTGGCCTTCACCCGGCTTTGATTACGTAACAAGTACCTTCTATTCCAAAAATAGATAACAATTGTAACACGGCTAGATAACAGAAATGTGAGGCCTGTTTCTGTATGTTACGGGTCCAAAGAGATAACTTTTTATTCTATTTATTTAATGGTGTTTACGAGTCGGCTATGGAGCACTAATATATAAGCCTGTAAAAAAATCATTTTATATTGTGACACATTCAAACGCAAATTTCTGTTACTACTTTTTTTCAATCGTAATTGCACATTTAAAGTTAAAAACAATTAAGTGTTGTCATTTTCTTCTTTGAGTGAAACATTTAGATCCACCGAACATATATTTCAAGTTTAATTGCTATAATTATGAAAACATTTTTGATTCTATCATTCATCTAGTCAGCTTGTATTATATAACTGAAATATGAGTAGATAATATATATCGTTTAAATAAAGAATGGTTCATAAACAGCTTGTTAAAGTCATAAAAAAGCCTGATTGTGTCGGAAAGGTGATATCATCCTACCAAGGTTTGTGGTTTTGAAAAGATTTGTCTTGCAAGTTCAGCGATTATTTCCTTCAAATGAAATCAGCACATTGAAACAAACTCCACTGCAGATAATGGTATCTTCGTTATACATGCTGACACCCAATCCGACAGGGAACCATTCACACTGTTCTCTTAAAAACCAACAATGAGTAAATTTAATAATACAGTGTTGATTTATAGATTTTCATATATTCTCCTTTAAACCTTATGCTGAAATTGTAATTTTGAAAATCATGTAGGACGATAAACAAAAAGTATATATTTTTACATACACATCATTATTTGGGATTTTATTGTGATTTGTTAATTATATGTATTCCCTTTTGGTCCTTAAATAATCTGAAATATTTAATGTGCTGAGATAGGAGTATACTGTTGATCCGGGTGTTTTAATACGTACTCAGAAAAAATGTGATTGCGTTTACCATCAGATTTTTTTTTTTAAATTTGTGCTGAAGAAAAAGGTTCGGTATTATCATTTCGGGTCTTGAAAATGCACTGAAAAATGAGTATGATTATATGGTTGTGACTATCTAATACGTACTAAAAAGAAGTGTGATTATCCAGGATTGATCATTTTTGTAATATATGTCGCCTTCAGTTAGTTTTTGAAATTATAACCAATTATTGAATTTGCCTTAACGAGAGATAATGAAGCCCGGTACAATTATGAATCCTGATAATGTTACAGTTCACAAAATCACACGCAACGTTTGTATCGCAATGGCGTTAACAATAACATGACATATACATCCAGCCAAAGCTTATTTGAAAAAAATAGGTCATGAGATGAATCAAATGACATGTTAGGAAATTCCCTACTAGGAGTACTTTTCTGTCAGCGACATCTGTTATACAGGTAAGGTNTTTTTTTACATAATTACACAACTGAAGTTCATGAGCAAAATTTGCGAAAAGATTCAGGATATCTACATGTACCTTTTGTCTTTCTTCTTAAAAGGGGAGTAGACCATCAACAAAGAATGTTCAGTCTTCTTCATTTTGATTTACTAATCACAGGGGCATGGATCGCTTTACTTGTAAAAAATATTAAAAAATTGGGGTCTCCTCTACTAAAAAACATATTTTTTAGTAGAGGAGACCAACATTTTTTTAATATTTTTTACAAGTAAAGCGATCCATGCCCCAGTGTTATTTAAGAAATAATCAACATATGCATGTGCAGATTATATGTTCCACCATAATGCACGCACATAAGTTGATTATTTTTATTTTACCACGTCAAATGTAACTAATTATTGTATAGTTTTGCTGTTTTATAAGGCGACATGACCTAGATCATTCGATATGCAAATTAGACGCTGTTCTTTTGCGCGTGCAAGATTTATCACGCTATCGTGTTGCCTCGTTTTAACTTGATCAATGTCGTGCCAACATTTCTCAGTGCGTAGGGTTTGGATTCCCGGATTGCGTTTACTTCTAAAACCATCATCATCGTACCGATATCAAGCGGATGTTCTTGGAAGTGCCAGTGATACAACATCATACGATAGGCCTGACATGAGTTTGCATATTTAGTTGGTTGCCATGACGTGATGGAAAGTCGCTGACCGGCTGATCATGATGCGACCTTCAACTTCACCGACTTCACCGGACAGCTGTGTTTTGCAACCACTGTTCAGACCGATGCTACTCTTTGCAACATTTACCATTTTGTCTTCAGACCTGTACATTTTAAATGTCAATAATTAATAAACCATTTTCACTGCACGGACCCACATACTTTAGGTCTATAGATCCGTGTAATCGTTTGAATGGCAGGCCTGTCACATATTTTGATCCCGCCTGACAGTTATGCTATTTTTGTTAATTCATGATAAAATACGGGGAGGTTGTTGGATCAGCATGCGTGCGCACTATTTCACGTGCATTGGTTATTGGCATCGGTTATTGGCACGCGCATGGTATATCGCTCAATAATGCACTCTTTTTAACCAATGAAAACCGTCGTTACACACATCACAGACGTGGTAGAATAATCATTAATTCTTAATTTTGATCATTTAAAAAAAAATGCTATGTATTGGTAGAAATGTTCACTAGATAACTAATGGACGATCTATTGACCTTTCCAGCATCTGTTTTGGTCTGGGGTGTACGAGTTCGTTTCACGGTACACCTACGATGGTCAAAAACTGACCGCCATTGACGACACTCTAGCAGGTCAGTATTGGATCTCGATTCAGACAAAATATGGACGAAATACGACGTTAGAATGTCATAAAAATCGGAGGATTCGGAGCCAGTGAAAACGTTCTTGAAAATATGTACTGCTTTTTCATAAGACAAGCAGTGAGTCTAAAACTTGCATCATTTATGACATCTACCGACGTTTCAATAACTTCTCGTTTTTATAGCTCATGTGATACAAATTACAAATATCACAACGTTGTGTCGTGTTTGGATGTGGACAATATGTCTCTGTTGTAGCCCTCCAGTTCATGTCTGACCGGTTGACCGTTATTTGAACCAATCGTTATAACATTTTGCATTACATTTATAATAATTAATGATCTAATCCTACTTTGATAATTTCATGACAATATGTACTACAATGTATATACTTATTGTACATTGTACATATATATGTATATTCATTGTAAAATAAAATAAATAAATATACAACATTTGATATAACGCCCTATCTAGCTAACATAAGCCATTCTAAAGCGCTTTACAGTACATAGATATACAATTTTATACAGTCAATATATATTATATTAATCAATACAATATTGAGGAATTAGCAGGAGCTGCCTTATCAGGCGCTAACTACTAGTCCTATGCCACCTGGCTGATATATCCCCATATGTGTACGCCTGTGTGTGTGCTGGAGATGTATTGTTATATGTTTGTAGTGGGACCGTGCTTCCAACGGTATCATTTATAGTGCCACCTCAAATGAATGCTACAGCACAGATACCGCAACACCCACCCCAGACCATTTTTTACTTCACCTGGGTTGTTGGAGTTGTGTGGGCAGGAGAAAAACACTTTCTATGAATATTCCATGCGTACGGCGACTTCGGGGATCGAACCCCTGCCGCCTGCTTAGAAGGCCGGAGTGTTAACCACTCGACCAATCCGCCCATGTACTGCANTTAATCACTTTTTATTATATATATATATATATATATATATATATTGTACTGTAATGTATACATTCATATATGAATGTATATCTCGACTATCAATATGACGTGTATGTTTTAATTACTACTTTAGAAGTGGGCTCTTATAATCTCTGCCTTTTGCGTATTTCTGATTTTATGTAAGACCTTTACAACAAAATATTCTGAAAAAGCCAGTATTTCTGTAGGATATCGAATGTTATGAAGAGGTGCCAACTGACCCAGGAATATACAACGTCAAATACAAACAATTCTTTCTGATACAAATATTACATAAAAAATGTTGTTTTTTTATCAAAATATCATTTGACATATTTTTAATGCAGGTTACTTAGCAGACAATCTGCAATTTTGTGGAAGTACCACCTCAACGGATGGGAACGAGGCTAACGTGACGTCGTGTCCCAGGTGCTCCCAGTCGGCTTACTCTGCGTTCTGGAGTATTGCTTCAATTGAGGTAAGAAAGACATTATTGATGAGTGTTTATATATAACTAGAGGGCATCTTTCATGACAGAAATGCACCCTGGGTATTTTACAGTGAAACTCGTTAATGAAAGAAATGACATAAAATGAGATGTAAGTGATTTAGTATATTCCATTGTGTACTCAGTGTGTACGAAATTTGAATTTATTCCATTATCTATTTAATATAAACGTGATATGATGTAAATAAATAAATTTTGTGTATTCCATTATATGTTTTGTATCTGCGTGGAACACAAATCATTTAAAATAAATTACTATGTACGAGATATAAGGAATTTGATGTAAAACGTTACGTATTTAGTATACACACGATGTAAATAATTTGATGTAATACATTATCTATTAAGTAAATACATTATATAATTTAGTGTATTACATTATATATATTAAGTTATTGCATAACATTATATATGAAGTAAAAACAATATATAATTTAATGCATAACACTATATATGAAGTAAATCAAATATATAATTTAGTGTATTACATTTTATATGAGGTAAATACAATATATAATCTAGTGTAATGCATTTTATGTTAAGTAAATACAATATATAATAAAGTGTATTAAGTTATATAAGAAGTAAATACAATATATACTTTTGTGGAGTACATTATATATTAAGTAAATACAATATATAATTTAGTGTATTACACTATATAATTAAGTGTATTACACTATATATTAGGTAAATACGATATATATGATTTAGTGTATAACATTATATTTTAAGTAAATACAATATATAATTTAGTGTATAACATTATATATTAAGTAAATACAATATATAACTAGTGTATTACATTATATATTAAGTAAATACAATACATGTATATGATTTAGTGTATTACATTATATATTAAGTAAATACAATATATAATTTAGTGTATTATATTATATATTAAGTAAATACAATATATAATTTAGTGTATTACATTATATATTAAGTAAATACAATATATAACTAGTGTATTACATTATATATTAAGTATGCACGGGAAGCCAAAGGAGCCATCAAGGTAATGCTGAACGCCAGTCGTAGCCCAGCGTTCAGAGAATCATCGTGAGTAATGATTTATTTCAGAATCCACACGTTTTGTCGAGCTACATGTACTTGCTAGTTTTCTACATGTATGATGCAGTGTGAATCATTTTTTGACATACTGTATCTATAACCAAAAATAAAGAGCATCACCTATGTGTGTATTATGTCTATCTTTTTACAGAGATATTTGACAGATAAGTTCTTATAATTTATTCTTGCTTATAACAAGCATTTTCATTGGCTTAAAAACTTATGTTATCAGCCCATCACGTATAAAAATGACGTCGTAGTTTGTAACGTCGCTTTTGATGGGCTGATACAGAGGCGTAATAATTTCTAAAAGAAAAGAGTCCATCTATAAAAGTGGATTTCCACAGGGATTGTGTATAGTAGATTAAATTATAAGGATTGACTTGAATTTGTTTTTTATGCTATGGAGCTATAATACAAAAAACCGGAGTGTACTCTCCTCATAAACGGCTTCGCGGTTATTTAGAGTACACTCCGGGTTGTTTGTGTTATATCTCCATAACATGAAAAATATATTCAAGTTAATCCTTAATTAATTACAAACGACGTTTGAACTAACTGTTATGTTTTCATCTACATCAATAAAGATGAACAATCAATAACATTGTTTGCCATAGTAAAATATATATTTATCACGGTAACCGACATAATTGACATATCATTCAGGTGTCGCACGTGACACCGAAAACCCAGCCCGATCCCTCGCAGAGATTTGTTTCTAGTTCACATTCACTTTTCTTTTTGTTTAAGTATTGCCTCAGTTTCTGTTATTGTAAGTCAATATATAGACTTTGATTATCGATTTTGACTTTTTGTATGGACTATGGTGATAGTGAATTTAAAAGCATTATGCAAAAATGACGTTTGAATGTTTGACTCTTGAATTTCATCCATGGTGTTTCTTTAGATACTTTACAACCAAGGAACTGCCTCAGTTGTACCATCCAAATGTGACAAGCGCACATGTGATGCTCGTCCATCGTCTGGGACAGACACCTAAGTAAGTCATACATAGATATCTGGACCAGCGTGCGTGGCGACAACGCTTAAGAGTTGAAGCTCGGTCATTCTAACCTTTTTTTTTATATAAAATATATAAAAATAGATATATAAAAGATAGAATGGAACTTTTTATCGACCCACTCCATTTTTATTACAAATTTTATCACTTTTGCACCCATATAAATCGTCATTTTCAGAGTAACAGCTAGAGTGGTAATAACAATGTTATATAGCTATGTTCATGTTATAGCAGTAAGTAAAGTTCTTTGAAAAAATATCGCAAAATATCAACTGTTGGTAAACATAGATACAACATATAAAGGTCCCTGTGTTTCCGTCAAAATAAGAACGACATCTTGAAAAAATATAAAAACGTGAAAAGTGTTGAATATATCGAATATCTTTTGTCCTAATTATAGACCATTATGCTAACGAGTTACACTGTTATTTAAGTTTATTAAGTATTATCTTTAGAATGCTTTTAGACGTGTTTTTGTTAACAGAGAAAACTGCTTGAGTCCCTCAGTGAAGAATCTGACCACGATACTGACGTCACGAGGTATTCACACGACGTGCGAGGACCAACCGAGGTAGGATTGTGCTTCCTTTGTCCCTGATCTTTTTTGTTTCGCAATATAGTATCTATACAATATGTATGCGTTAGCAAGGCTATTTGTCCATCATAGAATTATTTTAAGCAATATAAAAGTCTAGCATTTATTTCTGTACAGTATTACAATTCATCCATGGTATACTGCTTAGCAACACAAGGTGTCCATGGTATTCTGTTGAGCAATACAATATGTCCATGGTATTCTGCTTAGCAATACAATTTGTCCATGTAATTCAAATTAGAATTACAATTTGTCTGTGGTGGTCTGTATGCAATACAATTTGTCCATGGGATTCTGTCTAGCAATACAATTCCGGCATAGTTTACTGTTTTGCAATCCAATTTGTCAATGGCATGTTGTTTAGTCATTCAGTTTGTTAACGGCATTCTGTTTAACAATACATTATCTCATTTTGGTTTATGGTGATATCCTCATATTTTTCTTTGTTCTGATACGTTAACTGTAAATGATAATGCGTGAGTTTGTGATAAACTACTGATTTTTTGTACAATTTCCGTCGCCGTTAACCTTTGCTGCTCATATCTTTCTTTGGGCCGAACTGCATTTTCATTGACGTTGACATGCTATTATTCTCATTATTATTTATCTTAAAAAGTTCATATTTTAGTATTGTTATTTGTCATGAACCATTCACATCCTATTATTATATATGTAAACACTTTGAAATATCACCATCGCCAATTTATATCATTATACTTTTGTCGTTTCAGAGACGTAGTACTGCTACAGTGTGCAGATTTCCCGGAGTCCACAGCCTGTCGTGACCTGTCCTTTACCTCCTCCGGGTCAGCCAAGCAGCGCGGCCTAGTGGTCGCCAACGTTGTGTTGGCGTTTACTTCTGTAATATTGTCTTTAATGTAACACTGCAAGGTCTTATAAAGAAACCTATCTGAACTAACTTTACGAGCTCCCAAACGAGCGAGGAATGGTGATTATGTTTAATATAAGTGGTTTTGTAAGTTGATATGTTAAAGCAACACATTGTTTTTTAACCAATGACCCACTAACTTGCCTCGATAAGCTATACAAAAACTAAAGTCAAATTTGGGAAAAAGCAGAAAAAGTCAAACACAACGTAGGTATACCTCAGATTTAAAGATGCATACAATACTTTAAGGGCATGCTTGTACAAGAATTCTTATATTCTTTGGGTGATATCACTCGTCAACGGCAAGATTGCTGTAGACAGTCAAGCGATACTGTGATGCGTTTTCAATTGTTACGTCATTATCAAACGCCGTCATCTGACTGTAATTTCATAATATTATAGGTCACTGATGTACCCATGTTAGATATGAGGGGTTTCCCTATTCATACCAACTGCATGACGTCACGTCAACATTCTTTTTGTAAACGATAGGGAGAACATGGTACGAGATAAAGAATTATTCACCCCGTTGAGGTGAAATTGGGAATCTCAACCTCGGGGAAAGATTCCATAATCTCACCTCTATGGGGGGAAAGATTAGATTTATTAAACATGACTGTTCAATATCGGACACGTGTATCTTTGATGGGCAGAGTTGGAAGGAAAATAAGTATTGGCCAAATGTACTTAATAATTTAGAGGAAAAGGAGTTTGTTTAACGTTGTTTTAGCTGCCATATTTTAAATACATCATGCAGTGTAGCTCCACTATTCCAGATATTTTACTTTTCATAAAGATCTTAACAACAAATGTGAGGGATTAATTGAGGGTGAAGTTTCCTTCAAAAGTAAATTTCTTGACCAATGGCGTCCAGATGTTATTTGATGGCCAAATTCGGGATGGCGAGATACAGTACCAGTGCATCAGTAGATCATGTTTTGAAATATATTCTGACGTAGATAAACTGCTACAGCCCGAGTGTTAACATAAAAATTCAGAAATACATGAAAAAATCAAATATATCGACAGTTTATTACTGTTTTATTGCTGAATCAATAAGATCCGTATGACAACAGGTGCTAAGTTTATGTTCGTGTGTGTACGTGTGAGTTTGTTTATTGAATTGCTTTCAGACAGTTGAACTACAATACTATGAATACATGAATATATAACGTAGGCCAAGAGTTCAAGGTTACTGTATTATGAGACAATAAAGTACGTTAGATGTGGAATATCACGGACAGAAATGGTCAGTGATGATAAATACATTATTATCAGTAATATGTTAGTTTTCGGATGGTTCCCTCTGGTTTCGTTATCGTAATTCTCTCCTTGTTACGACCTTAACATAGTCTGGGACAACACGGTGAATGCGTTGCATGGGGCATTATCATTGTGTGTTGAAAGGCTTAAACATCCAATCTCGATATCTTTGTATAAATACAAAATTTGAACAACTAGTTGATTTAAGGTTTAAGCATTTTTTTCCTATGGAATTATTCAAGGATAAATGTTATATAGAAGCCTGGGATATTATAAGACTCTATCATGCCCAGGGATGTAGGATAGGGAAATTCCACCCGAGGGATTTTCAAATTTGGTAAAACCCGAGGGTTTTGCCAAATTTAAATAATCCCGAGGGTGTCATTTCCCTATCCTACACCCTTGGGCAAAAAAAAAGAGTATTTTTCTCTCATTTCAATCACCAGAATAAGCTCAAAAACCATAAAAATGCGTTTGAACTGGCCACTATTTTGAAACTATCCATGAGCTTTATAGATGAAAACGAGTGTGTACTAACGAGTACAGTACAACCAATATACTTTTAGTGAATCGAATGACCTAGTTAACTACGTCTGATTATTTCTGATTATAAAATTCTGTCAAACTTATTTCTTTAATTTTATGTAATATGTGTTTTTTACGAAACGTTTTCATACCGAAAAATAGCAGAGTTGTTTATATATATATGTTATACTTGTTTCTAATTTGCTCAAATTACAATTTTGTTTGAAGTTGAATGATTGTTTCCAGATGTTGGCGTCACTACCAATGTGTGATTTATGTCAATAAATAGATTTAAAAGTGAAGGTAGTGACATAATAACTCAAAAATCCTTTGTTTAACCTTAACCTCATATTTGAATGCAAATAGTTCTAATGAAAAATGTGCAAAAATCCTTGTTTTATTTTAACATGTTATTTCAAAATTTTATGTTTCAAATAGTAACATTTTTCAGAAATAAACCCAAGAAAAAGAAACACTTGTATTTTATTTTATGTTTTAATCCCTATTTATGTATCGATCTTGTTTAGCACAATTTGATGACGCATACTGCACTTTATAAACTATGTCAGCTTCTTCAGAATCGAATTTAATTTCAGCAGACATAACGACGCAATCGTTATTTAAATTGTGTACACATTATCATAAGCGTAAAAGATTATATCTACCATAACAAACCTGTTCGTTCGTCAATCTAATTGGTATGGCTTTTGACGAATTTGTGTATTTTAACAGAGAGGTATATATTACAGAGATAGGCTGCACTTTGCCTAACAATTGGTCATGGTAATTACCGATTATCATATCGTGAGTGACGCTTCACCTGCGCCATATTGGATTTACGGTTCGCTGTATTAAATGATCCTGTACAGTTCAAACGTAAGTACAGATGTATGCCGTGAGAAAACATCGAACATCAACGTAAATATTGAATTGTACTTTTACCCGTAGCTAGCTAAGATTTCCATGCTTTAATAATTAAGTTCGGAAAACATCTGAAATCGAAAGATTACAAATATAAGATTGTGGCTGTGTTAACTTATCAGCAGTGATTCTGGCTACAGGAGAACACGTACTCCTTTTCTGTTCTTCAGGCAATTTCACAATAGACTCCAGATACTATCTATTTGATAGTATTTCTAACCAATTTTTTAATATGAGCATGCAACAATACTTGCAAGTTAAGTAATTTAGCTTTGAAAATACGTTGTTTTCAAAATAAACGATTTAAGATGGCGGCTTTGATATGTGAGGATTATCATCTTTCGTGCAACAGGAAAACACGTACTCCTTTCTTGTTCACAATTCAATTTCAAAAATATCTTCAGATATTTATTATAACATAATATTTCTAGCTTCTTATATATGAGCGTGTAACAATACTTGCAAAGATTAATAATTTTGCTCTGAAAATACGATTTTATTTCAAGATAAACGAGAAAAGATGGTGGCGTTGATGTGTTAGGTTGTTTTTTCCCGTCACATGAGAATTCTTCTTTCTTGTTCATTATTTTAATTTCAAAAACGTCTTCAGATATTTATTTTTATATAGGATCTCCAACCAGCTTCTTAATGTCTAGGATATGTGACATGTTGACACGAACTGACGAATACATGATCGTATTTTCACAGGTTTTCACAGTGAATTTTCACAGACCATCGTCGTCAGGAACATTCTTTTCAACATGTGCTTATAACTGTCAAAACAAACACTCAAAGAGCCGGTTTCGCGTAATTGCGCAGCCGTGACCCATGTCTCGCGACGTATCTAATGTCCACTGCCTGAACAATATGATCATGCGTGTCTTCGCGAGATCTGCGTGAGTTGCCAGTCTCTCTGATTTTAAAAATGTAATATTTACCCGTTACACGAGACAGGTCAAGTACAACAAGTTATTTTTCTCTACGTGATAAGTCTGATAATAAAACATCCATCCGTGTAATTACAGGACAAGTTCTATAGAATAATTACCGAATCGCACAAGTTCTATACACTTTTAAAAATAAATAATGATAAAGAAAATTTACAGAAACTGAAACTATGTTGCTTTGATTGTAACCCTTTCTGCTCGTGGGAAAGTACTCTACGGAAATCCTTATTCAGGTAACAAACTGATGTTTCAATGATTACATACTGTATGCCGATACGTCATACATTTACCTGTCGTTGCGCATGTCAGACCTTTCTAAATAGACGATCAGGTTACATGAGACGCGCGATATGAACTATTTGCTGGCACTTTAAACTGACTGGTGATGTCAAACCAGTTATAGACTATGTGTTGACACTTGAACAGACCAAGTACGACATGGCAATACCCATGTAGACTATTTGTTGACACTTGGACAGCCCATGTACGACATGACAATACCCATGTAGACTATTTGTTGACACGCAAAACAGACCAAGTACGACATGACAATACACATTTAGAATATTTGTTGACACTTAAAACGGACCAAGTACGACATGACAATACCCATGGAGACTATTTGTTGACACTTGGACAGATCATGGTTAATTATGATACGTGTGTGTATACCAGTCACAGACAAGTCTTTGATACATGCATTTGAATCATTTATGCTAGAGTTGTTTTCCTTCAAATAATTGAAAATAAAAATCTACGGCAGTCGCTTCATTGTATGATGTGTATCTAGCTCGAAACGACAAAATGATCTAAAAACAAGTATACCTCGTCCTTACGCTATTTCCTTGTTACAGATTTTTTATTATTGTACATATACATCGGGTCCTTACGAAATTTTCTTATGGCATATCCATGTATTCGGTACTGATGTAGGGTTCATTCGGAAATACTCCGTAGAAACGTTTAATCATCAGCGTCACAATGCGATATCGACCTTATGCGGGCCACTTCTTAAACGCTTCATGGTGAGGGTTTAAAACAGCCATGTCTCGATAAGGTATCAGGATGCACCGCTCCACACGAAAATACTCCGGAGAAGGATTTGATGGAACGCTACACATTTCCCAAACATGACATGTAGAACGCAGACGAAATGTGTTTAACAACAGTGCATATGAAATCCAAGATAAAAGCATGACGAAAGATGACCAGATGACTTCCGTAGGTAAGATGCATTGATGCATTTCATCCGAAGTTCATATTTGAATCATCAATCCAGATGGATGAAAACGAACAACTTTCATCAATTTTCCCGTGACCTTGTTTCGAGAACATATAACACTGTCGATAGAAAAACCTGTCCGTTTACTTTTGGACAATAATCATTCATATTTGAGTATTGATATTTCGACACTCTCAAGTTATATCCTCATAGGCCTTATCTTGACGTCGACGTCGTACATATAAAGATGACTATTGGCGACGATGAAAATCAATGTTTTATCGGGAAGTAAAATGCTTTATTAAAAACTTGAAACTAACTTTACAGTGTGCATACATTTCGTTAAGCTGATGTATAGCTGATACAAATGTAAGACCATAAAAATGTATCATTATAATCCACCTCTGTAACATATATATAGGATTTTACATGAGTTTAGATTTATGAAACGAGTCTAACAATGTCCAATTTAGCGAGCCTCTAACGAGTTAAATAAAAGATTCGTGACCAGTTTCATAAATTTCATATGAAATGAAACGAATGTAAGATCCTTTTTATCACATAATCAAGATTTGTGGCATTTATTCGTGTAAAACGACAATTTTCATGCAACCTTGAAATGTTAAAAGCCGCCATTTTGACTCCAGTGCGTAAGTGTGTGACGTCCTGTACTTGTCCAAGGCGTGACGTCACAATTGAAACTTACAACCAATAACAGGGCTGATAGGTCATATTACATGGGTTAATACTCCAAAAAATATGACATGGGTATATTCACTGGATAGCACAGTACATTGTGTGATAAAAAGTTTTATCACATAATGTACACTTTTTAGAGAAATATTAATGTACCGTATACTATATCATCAATTCAAAATATGTTTGCTCGTTTTTCATAAATAGATACCATCCACTTCTCTTTAGTATTATAAGTTGGTTTTTCCGGCGCATGGTTCAATAAATAGAACGAGAAATACTATGAGGGTCACGTAGGCGGCCCCTGAACAGGTGAAACTGTACCCTGAATGGGACTCTGTGGTATTTTGACTAATATTGGCGGATAAACGATCAATATAAGCAGAAAAATACATATAGTTGAAATATTTTAGAGTCAAAGGTTGTTCTGATTAAATTTCTTCTTTAAACTAATATTAATTTTGCTAAAATAGAATTTTTAAATGATATCCAAATAAATAGCGACGCATGGCACGTAAATCACGAAAGTATTGTTTAGGTAATTATGCTTACCCTTAGATTGTCCATGTAACAATACTCAACAGCCAAAAAAGCTTATGAACAGTTAAATTGTCATAAAAGTGCCATCAGGTGAAAACTGCATACATAAAAATACTTCTTCTTAACATTGTATGACAGTTTCTTGGGCCGTTTTGCCGCAAGTGTCCCGTTTTGGGTACTGTCCCGTTTTGGATACAGTGATGTCAAAGGTACTAAACATGTATACCTAGACCTTGGTCAGAAAATTAGTCTATATAAAGGTTAGTTACAATGTAGATGTCAGCATACAATAGCTGATTATAACATAATTATAACAGTTTGTCCTTTAAATAAGTGGTGTGTTTTTTTTATATATGTACGTATCATGTTTTTCAACGATTTTTTTTTTATCAAGCACTTTATATCGACTGAAGTTAATTTCTCTTAATAAAAGTATGTCCTTAATTGTCCTTTTCTGTTGATAGGACCCAGTGCAACCAACCAACCCTTCAATTTGTATAAGCGTCCAATATCTTTCACAAAGTGTATAGACTTTGTGAACGTTTGAAATAACTTTCCCATGGATCACTTTAAGTAGATTGGACTTATTTGGATGAGATAAAAACTGTGGACTTGACAGGTTGCGTATAATGTGTTGAAAAATGACAGCTATCCATTTAAATAGCACAAGTCATACTACCCAGACTTTCTGAACGTTATCGTAGTTGTAATATTTAACCCTATTCTTCGTTAATGATCCCTGTCCCACTGCACTGTGGTATTGAGTACAAGTGTTCGTCATTAACATAGTATGATGAAGATCAATACATGAAAATGTATTTCTTTACAACACAGCGTACAACATACATTATACGTGTTATTTACACGTGTTAGTGCTAAGTCTATACTAAGTGACTAAGATATTTGTGATAGAGAAAAACGTCCACTTCTTAAGTCTGTGTGCCGGTATTTACATACATTTAGTGTAAATAAAAAATACCAAGTCATGTTCATTCTTTAACTATAGATGTGTAACTGGATAGGCTAACACCGCACTACATGAACGAGACATCAAACAAACAAACCTACAGTACCTTGACAAAATAGTTCGGCGTTTCAGAATTAAACGAATCTACCGCAGGTTATGAAGTAA